TTTATTGAAATGAAGATGGTTATTAATATGAAATGTTAGTCGAGTAGGAAAAACCGGATGAATGAATGAAAGTTTGACAATGACAAAAATCCCCTACGGAAGTAAAATGCATATAATCATCATTTTTTACTAACTTATCTTGTAGAAAATATATTTTATATTGTTATAATTTATATTAGGTACAGGGACGCATCTTCTTTGGGGCCAGGTGGGGCTGTGGCCCCCCCTGTTTTTTTTGTCATAATTAGTCCTCAAGTATTAAATTTTTTACATATTATGCCCAAAAGCTATAAAATTTGGCTTTGGCCCCCCGCTCTCCAATTTTCATACTTATTATACTTTCGGCCCCCTCAAAGAAAAAGTTCAAGCTCTGTCACTGATTAGGTAAATGAAAATTTACTAACATAAATAAAGTATATATAGATTAACGATCTTATAATATAACATCCAAATAAATTTGTTTAACAAAAAGAATATTAGCATGATAGCATCCAATCAACATGAATTAAAAAAAATGAGTGCAAAGAATGTTAAATTAGTGAGAAAATGTGCGCCCCTACCATTTACAAGGTAAGTGGGTCTATAGATGCGCATCTACTTTGCATAGAAGTAAAAATAATGGAAAATGAAACTTACATAAACCAATGCACCCAATCCATTTCTTTACAGGTTATTGACATATAAATCCATTGGACACAAAATTACAAGACTTGCCACATATGGAAGATAACCTTCAAAAATTTTAGAGATTGCTACTTTGGCTAATGATGATAGTACTAAAAGGAAACCTTTTTATTTTCATTGGGCCTACAACTTTTACTAATAGAGACATAAGATTAGAAAACAACCTTTTGCCGAGTTTTTTTTCACTTACACACTTCATCCAACAATTAATGTGCACATATTTCTTCAAGAAAACTAACAACTGCAAATGAAATTAAATCGAGTGTCAAAAACGAATGACAAAGAAAATATGGGGAAAAAAAATCCAATACATACTTTTCGGTTCACATTGTTCTTGAGCACTTCTTTAGTTTGGACTTGAAATCAATTATCAATCTACTTTGTGTGTACAATTTTGTTGCAGATTGGACAGATTTTGATTGGTTACAAAATTCGATAAAAAGGGTAAAATAGGTAGTTTCCATTACTCGGGGGTTAGGATGAACGAAAAACATGAAGGAATCACATTCCTTATTGAATACATATATAATTCCATTCCAATCACCAACCAAACATGTATTCTTTCATTCCTTCTGAATACTCCATTTTGTTCCTTGCATGATTACCACATACTAAAGAGGGCTTGATCATTTAAATGGAAACGTGTCCGTGAGACGGTTAAAGGATCATGTCTTGCTTGGGACGTAGATGTAGTTAATCAACATAGTATGTTGGTAAAATTTAGGGTTTGTAGTGGAGATCTGGATACCGAATTGGATCGTGATATCACTTTTCGAACTTATATTTCTACCCTATGCCTGGGTTACAAGAAATTCAACCTAGGATAATCCAAGTGGACACTTACGTTTCTAGGCACAGAAATCGTAAGCCAACATGCTAGAGGATTTTGTGAAAGTGTGGTAAAACGAGAGCTTAAGATCGTAACCCTCTTCTAAAAAGAAGAGTCGTTTATATAATAAACGATATTAGGGTTTTACTAGGTTGGGCCGTCATTAATTGCTTTGGAAGCAAGTAATGTTAATCCGGATTTAATGAGGATTTGGAGTTATGAAAACTAACGAGTTTCGTTAGTTTTACCATAAACACCCTCAAGAAATTGAATTTTCCACTATGGCGCTTCCCCTTGGACTCCGCTAGGGGCGCTGCCCTAAGACCCCGCCAAAGGGGCGCTACCCCCGGATCCCCGACTAGTTGTCGAACCGGCTTCTAATTCAATCTTATACATGCGTGCACTCCACACAACCCCATACATATATTAGAGTACAAACTATGAAACCCCTTAGCTCACATGTTAATTCCAGTTACTTAAAATGACATGGTGACACTAAAATCACCAAGATAGTAAGGGTGTGTGTGTGTGTGTGTGTGATAGCAAAACAAATCGAACAACACTAATAAGAGTTTGTTAATGTTCGTTCGTTTAAGTTAACCGGATAGAGGAGTGAATATGAACAGATAAACTAACGATTTTTTTTATTTATGTTCGTTTGTTTAAAAAATTACTTTGTTTGTGTTTGTTTTACAAAAACATAAATTTACATAAACAAACATAAATAAACATAAATGGATGTAATTGTTAAGTCTCAGAGTCTATATGTGTTATGTCTGAGTCTGATTGTGAAAGCTTTCACAGTTACATCTTAGTCTTCAATGTATAATTCCGATAGCATGTTTGGTTTTAGAGTTTTGTACACCTTAGGTTTCGTAGTGAATATTGCGTAACTGTTTTACAATGTGTCACTGCTTAGGTGTTGTAACCTTATTGGTTATTCTCTAACCGACTCCAATTTGTCAACCTACAAATAGGGATGTTAGTTAGAATGTAGAGTAAGCCTTTTGCAAGTTCTTACACTCAACAATTGTAATTGAACTTTCTTACTCTAAATCAAATTAGAAAATTATTTACTCTTTCGTATTATCATTTCTTGCTTTCAAACATGATTTCAATCATGCGAAAAACTAGTCTATCGATCCTACAAGTGGAATCAGAGCATGAAATCTTTGAACTGGTTCAAATTGTTGAATTTTCTTGTGTTTTTCGAGTTTCTATTTGTCATTTTGATTTTCCTTGATCTCTTCTGCAATTACAATTGTTTGCAATTTGATCTGGAAATTCTTGTTCCAAAACTTGTTTTGATTTGAATTCATATTTCACTCATTGATTTGATCACATGTTCATTTTCAATTGAAATCATGGAAAAAGAAGACTCTCACATTGTTGCGTTCAATCTATCGAGTAGTATTAGATCGAATACTAGAGTTCCAACTCTCTTCCTGGATAAGTACGAAGTGTAGGTGTTGCATTTTGAAGATTACATCAAT